CCGGCCCCGTGGCCGTGTCTACTATATTGTCTACATTGAGCATTCATGTTTTGCATGATTCTATGTACGGGTAAACAGCATAAAACCCCCATGTGTTAAGGAAAACTTGTGTTCCCCCTGTGTTTTTTTTTTTTTTTGCGTAAAACCCCCTTGTGTTTTATTTTACTTTGCACGGAATACCCTTTTCCGTGCAAAGTAAACAGCATAAAACCCCCATGTGTTAAGGAAAACTTGTGTTCCCCCTGTGTTTTTTTTTTTTTTTTTGCGTAAAACCCCCTTGTGTTTTATTTTACTTTGCACGGAATACCCTTTTCCGGTTTGGGCCGTCAACGGGCCGGTTCCAGGCCCAAAACCGGCCCGTGGCCGTGTCTACTATATGTCTACATTGAGCATTCATGTTTTGCATGATTCTATGTACGGGTAAACAGCATAAAACCCCCATGTGTTAAGGAAAACTTGTGTTCCCCCTGTGTTTTTTTTTTTTTTTGCGTAAAACCCCCTTGTGTTTTATTTTACTTTGCACGGAATACCCTTTTCCGTTAAAAGTTAACACCGTTAACTACAGAGGAGGTTTTATGCAAGTTTTTTGTAACATAAAGGGATTTAGTGCATGATTTTGCAACACAATGAGGGAATTCGCAGAAATATAGGGAAAGAAAAGAGAGAGAGACACACACAAATATAGTGATTAATACGTGTGAATTAACCTAAAATAACAATTAAAATGGAATGAATGGAGTATAAAATATTTGTTGTATTTAAAAGAGAGCCCACAATTATTGCAATTATTACATGATTCAGTTTCATGTAGAGGGATTTAGTGCATGATTTTGCAACTTGAAATCCCAAAGTTGATTGATTATTTGGTCCTAACCAAGACATGTAACGAACAAAAAACATGCAATTAAAAGTCAAAATTGAAAATTGTTCATGTTCGGTGGTCCTATATCTGTTTTCCTCTTACTTGTACGAGAAAATCCATGATGTGGACAAGTTATATTTATAAAGTCCAATAAAATATTACTCAAAAAAAAAAAAAAAGGTTTGTTGACTGTGAACTGGTACCAAAACCGTGAACCAACTCGTGTTCCTCGAGAAGGGCACGGTTCTAGAATTATGTGAACCGTAAATCGTCGGGTCGGTGAACTGGTCTTTATTTGTTTTCTTTTATTCCCCTCCCCCACTTAAGTCCAATAAAATAAAAATTAGATGATATTATTTTGTTCCATTAATTAGTTACCAGGGGACCAAACTGCAGTGCAGTGCACAAAGGCTATTAGATAGTGTCCAATTAACCTTATAAAAAGAACATCATCACACACAAACTGCAGTGCAGTGCACAAAGGCTGTTAGATAGTGTCCAATTAACCTTATAAAAAGAACACCACCACACAGCCTATAGCCTAGGGTATAACTGCAGTGCAGTGCACAAAGGCTGTTAGATAGTGTCCAATTAACCTTATAAAAAGAACACCACCATACAGCCTATAGCCTAGGGTATGAAAGTGACCCATTTTGATAATTTGTGCTTAAGTTAAGGGGATCGCACTATATTATATTAGCAAAAAAGACACATTACATTAACAAGGTCCAAGTTAAAACATCTGAATCATAGCAAATTATCAAATTAATGAAACCTCAACTGTTAAGTAAAATTAGAATATAATAAGCCTGATCTATAATTAATTAAATTTTATTAATGATGCTACTTCTTGTTCTTTTGCTTCTTCTGTTCCTTCAATTTCTTGTCAGCGGCTCCACGGGAACCGCCACTGCCAAAGTAGCACCCGAAGAGTGGATCGCCAAAATATGCAGTCTTCAAACAGCATTGTTTTGTGATAATTATATTCTTCGTTATCAATAAACAAGGCCCCGCACTTCATTGAAATATCAGATGAGGATTTCGTCAGTTGCGTTGTTTCTGGAATTGAACATATATAATAATAGGATTTTAACTCATTTTCTATTTTTTCTGCAAAATGATCGTTTTTTCAGGTTTATTAAGTTTTTTGAGAAATAGCACGTTAAAAATATCATCGAAAGAAAAATAGACCTACGAACAAAACTAATGAGCAAAGCTCGTGAATCACGTCAGGTTTCGGCGACCCGACATCGTTTCGTCTCTTAAAAATGATTTTTTTGCTATTTTAGGAAATTTTTAGAAAATTCATATCTGTTCATTGAACCATCATATGAGGATTCTGTCAGTTGCTTTGTTCTGGAATTGGAAGTTCTATTAAAATTAGGTGTTAACTCATTTTCTATTTTTTCAGCAAAACGATCATTTTGAAAGTTTATTAAGGTATTTTGAGCTTGAATAGCATGTTAAACTCCCCATCCAAAGAAAAACAAACCAACGAACAAATCTCATAAGCTAGGCTCATGAGTCACATTTAGTTTCGGTGATCTGACGTCGTTTCGCCGCTTAAAAAATGAAAATTTGCTATTTTCGGAATGTTTTAGAAAATTCATATCAATTCATTGAAACATCACATGAGGACTCCGCCAGTTGTGTTTTTTCTGAAATTGCGAGTTCTATTAAAATTAGGTTTTGACTCATTTGTTAGTGTTCCTACAAAATGATCGTCTTTTCAGTTTTATTAAGGTTTTTTTTGTGAGTTTTAATAGCAATTAAAAAAATTACCTTATAAAAACAGCTAGACGAACAGTACTCCTGAGCTTGATCATGAATCACATCTAATTTCGGTGGTTTGGCGTCTTTTTGACACTTAAAAATGAAATTTTGCTTAAGGAAGTTTTAGAAAATTCATATCAGTTCATTGAAACATCAGATGAAGATTCCATCAGTTTCATTGTTTCTAGAATTGCGAGTTCTATTAAAATTAAGTTTTAACTCATTTTCTATTTTTCCTTCAAAATGATCGTTTTTCTAGGTTTATTAAGGTTTTTTGGGTTTTAATAACAATTAAAAAACTCTACCCCTATAAAAATAGCCAAACCTACAACACTCATAAGCTTGCTCATGAATCACGTCAGGTTTCGGTGATCGGACGACGTTTCGCCACTTAAAAATGAAATTTGCTATTTTAGGAAACTTTTAGAAAATTCATATCAATTCATTGAAATATCATATGAGGATTCCGTCAATTGTGTTGTTTCTGGAACTGCGAGTTCTATTTACATTAGGTTTAACTCATTTTCTATTTTTCCTTCAAAATGATCGTTTTTTCAGGTTTTATTAAGGTTGTTTTGAGTTTTAATAATAATTAAAAAACTTTACCCCTATAAAAAAACAGTCAGACGAACAATACTCATGAGCTTGCTCATGAATAAAATTAGATTTCGGTGATTTGACGTCTTTTTGACACTTAAAAATGAAATTTTGCTATTTTGGGAAAGTTTTAGAAAATTAATATCAATTCGTTGAAACATCATCATATAAGGATTACGTCAGTTGTGTTGTTTCTGAAATTGCCAGTTCTATTAAAATTAGGTTTTAAATAATATTTTTATTTTTCTTTCAAAACGATCGTTTTTCCAGGTTTATTAAGGGTTTTTGAGTTTTAATAGCACGTTAAAAATCTCATCCCAAGCAAAACAGACCGACTTACAAAACTCATGAGTTTTGCTCATGAATTACGTCAGGCTTTGGTGATCTGACGTCGTTTCATCTCTTAAAATTTTAATTTTGCTATTTTAGGAAAGTTTTAAAAAAAATTCATATCAATTCATTGAAACTTCAGATGAGGATTCCGTCAGTTGCGTTGTTTCTGGAATTACGAGTGATATTATAATTAGGTTTTTTTAACTCATTTTCTTATTTTTTTGCAAACCGATCGTTTTTTCTAGATTTATTAAGGTTTTTGAGTTTTAACCCCATCTCAAGCAAAACACACCGACGAACAAAACTCATGAGCTTAGCTCATGAATCACGTCATGTTTCGGTAATCCGGCGTAGTTTCGTCTCTTAAAAATGAAATTTTGCTGTTTTAGAAAAGTTTTAGAAAATTCATATTAATTCATTGAAACATTAGATGAGGATTCCATCAGTTGTGTTATTTGTGGAATTGCGAGTTCTATTAAAATTAGGTTTTAACTCATTTTCTATTTTTCCTTCAAAATGATCGTTTGTCCAGGTTTATTAAAGTAGTTTGAGTTTTGATAACAATTAAAAAACTCTACCCCTATAAAAACACCCAGACGAACAATACTCATGAGCTTGCTCATGAATCACATTTGCTGATCTGACGTCTTTTTGACACTTAAAAATTAAATTTATAGTTTCGGGTTTATATCGGACTTATTTCAAGCAAATATAAAATAAATTTGTTTTAATCCAATATTATTTGTAATTTACCCTTTCAAAATTGAATTAGCCGACAAAGAAACATCATGTACACATAAAGAAACTACCGAGGGATGCTAAAATCATCGTCGACACTAATACTCAAACACCTCAAACTAGCACTGTGGAAAGACAGACCATCAACATCTACATCAAATCTCTCAATGCTATGAGAGTAATCGTGATCGGACGGTTGGGGAATACTCCGGCTACTCGTGATTGGTCGGTCATAATTATTTGTGCGGACGCTTAACATTGGACGGTGATCGCTCGCGATTGGTAATAATAAGCCGTCGGCCGATTCTAGGGCTTGTTCGAGTTCTTCCCACACTTGTGTCATTGTAGGCCTTTCTTTGGGCTCTTTCACCACACATCTAAGAGCAAGTTGTCCGATTTTTAGCATTATTTCCATGTTGCACCCTTGTACTAGAAGATTTGTATCGATTATGTCTTCAACCCTACCTTTCTCGATGCTAGGGCTTGCCTGCAAATTATCATGTGTAATGAATTATGTACGTCCTTCTTACACGATGTATTTTTTATATATAGGAGTGTGAACGAGTCGAGTTCGAGTTGAACTGGTTCATTTTGGAGAGCTCAAGCTCAAGTAATTTTCTACAAATTCGAGCTTAACGATCTTAATTTTTTTAAGGTAAAAAAAAATCGAATCTTGAGCTGCTTAACAATAAACCCTTTAAATTAATTCACATAAAATAAAATAGTTTTATCAAAAATTGCGACTTACCCAATGAATGATATGAGAATGGGTACTACTCCTACTCGACTCGACCGCAGGCCTAGCGGTAACAAGCTGAAGAAGTATCACTCCAAAACTATACACATCGGTAAACGGAGTCAAATGGAAGCTCGAACAATAAGCGGGGTCCATATAGCCAGGTGTCCCTTTTAACTGACTCGTAACGTGTGATTTATCCCCGTCTGGACCCGATCGAACGAGCCCAAAATCTGATACCTTGGCCTCAAATCCATCTCCGATTAATATATTACTCGGTTTTATATCACGGTGGATTATACTCGGGCTAATCTCTTCGTGCAGATGGGCTATCCCTAATACATATTGGCAACAATTTGAAAATGTAATTTAATTCGTTTACGAAGAAAATATTGTTAATTAATAGTGATCGATAATATTGGAGGATAATCAAGAACCTACCTTTAGCTGCTCCAATGGCTATATTTACTCTTTCCCTCCAAGTTAAAATACTTCCTCCCCTTCCTAATGATCAAAATAACTTGTTAATTTTTTTTATGTTTTTTAATTCGTTGGAAATATTTTTATTAAAGTCGATCGACTTACCGATAATGTAGTCTAGTAGTGAGCCATTAGTCACATACTCATAAACAAGAATTTTTGCAGCATTCGGCCCTGTACTTAAGACATACTTTTTAGTGACATAAAAATTAAGTTGATGATCTAATTAATTTTCGATAAATTCCTAACCTTTACCATTTCCTTCACAGAACCCCACAAGTCCGACAAGATTTTCATGCTTTACTTTCGATAGCAACTTCACCTCTGCAATTTCAAGAAAATATTGGTTTTAACACACTAAACGGATAGTCGAAACACGGTAAAATTACTCTTTTGCCCTTCTTACGTACCGTTTCTGAATTCTTCAGTGCTTATATATGATTCAGCATGAGGTTTCTTGATTGCCAGAGTAATCCCCTCCGTATCAAACGTACCTCGATAAACGTTGCCAAACGCACCCTTACCAACCATGCAAGCTTCGCTGAAATTGTCTGTGGCCTTTTGCAGTTCTTCCATACGAAAACACCTTAAATTCATCTTCTCCGCCTCTAGCTTTCCTATTGTTATGCTCACGAAAAAACAAAATTATCTAGGATTGAAATTCGATCCAACTTAAATGTTTTAAATAACATTTATAATGACCAACCTTTTTGCTTCCAAAATAACCTGCAGAAATTGGCTCGAAGTTTTTTTCTGAAACAGAAGCAAAACCAGCCTCCGACGAAAAGTATTACAATGACAATGACAAGAACACCTAGTACAGTTGTTTTGTTCGAAACAGATTTACCATGTCCTAATACTGTAGGCGGTGAAGCTGGTGAAAATGCTTGTCGGTTTGCCATACTTTTTTTTCTCAATTTCTTGCAAGATTTTAACGGGTTTTTGTTAACCTATATATATTGGCTCATAGGAACATATTTTGTTTCTGATTCTGCATGAAACTGCAGTTATATTCCAAATAAAGAAGCTGGTCAGTATTAAAATTGTATTAATTTAGACAAAAAATGATGTTCTAGCCGGCTAATTATATTGCATATTATTATTCATGGTTGATTTATCAATTCTCCTCTGAATTGGTCAATTTTTTTTTCATTTTTTCATTTTTTAATTGTTTTTTAATTTTATAATTCACTAGGCGGCATAAAAGGCCAAGAAAGGCATGTTAACATTGATTATAGACTTAAGAGTTAGTTTTTTTTAAATCATTCAATTATGCAAAAATAGCCAAAAAAAAATAAGGGCTCCTGCATGCAACAATGACGTTTCGACGTAACATCAACGAAGTTTGATATGACGTCGAAAATCATTTTAAAAAATTAAACAAATAATATAAGCAGAAAAAAAATAAAAAAAGAATTTGGATCAAGTGCCTTAGAGATAGATACTTCATCCGTTCTTAAATAATTGTCATTTTGGCCTAATAGTTTTCTTGATTCTTGTATTGCCAGCTAAAACAACTTAAACTTCTATGATTAATTCAGCGAAATATCAAAATATTGAACCAGTATTTAGTACACAATTACCGAGCCGGGACCGAAAGAAATTATTATTTATGTGAAATTAAAAATTTATCGAGGCTCTACTATATTAATAAATGCTACAATACTAAAACATTTGACTGATCACTGAAGCACCAAATTTCAACTATGCCATTCACGAGGACAAATTTCAACAAAGAATCAAACAAAAACATTCACAGGAAAGGTTAAAAAGGTTGTCTTTGACTAGGTTTTCTGCAGTAAGTCACCAGTTTAAAGAAACCTTTTTTCTTATAATAATAATAATAATAATAATAATAACCAAGTAATAAGACAAAATTAGTCCCTAATTAATCAGATTATGTTATTATTTCGGAACGATCTGCCGTAGATCCATGGAGATCAGCTGAATATTCATTCAACCAACTATTACATAATCAGAGGAAACGGTCCGAAATGGGGTTCATTATAAAACAATCGTGTCTTTTTCTCGATAGAAATCAACTTCAATATATGATTTTTATATCTATAATAACAAGTTCGTGGAGCATGTTTTTATCGTAAAATAAATACATCAAAAAAAACAAATCAAGGTTTTTGTGCAGAAAACATGATAAAAGATTGCTGAACTATCTTGGTGTAATTAACGAGACCACAAGATTTGCAAACTTCCTCGATCTCCTCTTCTGTTAAATAGTTGTAGTTGCTTGTGATCCTCTCTCTAATTAAAGGCCTTAACCATGTCGGAGTTGATGAACTGACTCGAAGGAAAGTACTTCCAACAAATACGCCACCACTTCGTAATATTCGATTAATTTCAGCAATCTGACATTTTAAACAAATTAAAAGGTTCAATTTTTTTTTCTTTTCTTTCAAGAGATCAGGTATTAAGTGCTAACAAAGGCCCGTTTCAGTCTAGAAACAAACTTAGTCAACTCATTAAACAAACCACGACAAAGCATCTATAATTTCAATCCTCTACAACAGGACAATTCTGTGCAATCGATACTTATTTGACAAGCAAATTATGTCTCATTCAAAATTCAGTTTAACCAGCCTATATTTGACATATATATACAGCTTTAAAGGAATTTAGTGTTGTCTCGAACAGCCACTTTTGGTGTCATTTAAATACGGAAATATTACTATCTTCGTTTTCTACATCGATTTGAAAATTAGGAAACTTACTGCATTTGAAGGAGAAGGCCAACAATGCAATGCTGCACCAGCATGAACAGCATCAACGGAACCGGATGCAAAGGGAAGTCTTGAAACATCGGCTCTCACAAGTGCAAGATTACTGCAGAATTTCGAACGAAAAAAAAATGTCCCAAAATTCCATTACCTTTTCTAAGGAAATATAAAAGACCTAAACTAATATTAGCAGAAACAGTGTTTCGAAAAAATGAGGAAAGAAATGCTCACGAGTTTAAGATAGCATCGTCGTTTTTAATGAAATCAAAACACTGGCGAAGCATATTTTCAGAAAAATCAAGTGCAACGACTCTCGAGTAGGACCCCGATTTCGCAAATTTCCTGGAAAACAAACCACTGCCACAGCTCACATCTATGAGGACCCCACCTTCGGCTGGTTTAAAGTATTCCTGCGCCATACTGAACTGCAAGAAAATTTTGTGGTTATGGAGACGAGTTATCAATTCAAATCACTATATATAGTTTGTTCGTTTTTAAGGTTAACCATTACGCAATTAAATACTATACAAGTAATCAAAATAACAAGACAGCGTGAACATAAAAAATTGGATAACTCGAACACGTTTCCTTATTGACTGACGCTAACAAATGACGCTAACAAATGACAGATGTATGGAAGCATATATAATATAAAGATAATTAAGCACGTAAAGCAATTAATCCGGCTCGCCTAGTTCTGTAAATGAGATGTAAGAATTATCTACCTCTTCGTCTGGACCGGGGAACCCTCTACTGTTAAAATTCTGGCGCCACCCCCTCTCGTAAACAAATGAGACCAATGGGCTCCTAAATAAAAAGCGACGGAAACCGACATCGGATTCAAAAAATATCATCATAAAATATCAGAATTTGCAATTCACTCTATCCGGCAAATGAGTTTACGATGACCAGTATTTCACACCTGAATAACTCAGTGCCAGCTGGTTGGAACTCGTTGTACTCCTTTGTGCCAGAAGTAACCGTAAGATCAAGATACAGGTTTTTGCTCGAATACGACTTGTTGCAATTCCTACATTTGAAACCAGACCTATATATTGCTTGCCTGCACATCGTTACCGAATTGAATTAAAAACGGGCACCATATCAACACTAAACAATTCCTTACAATTATTCGCAAAATTCAGACTTACAAATTGAAACCAGACGGGCCTTTTCGTATCAGCGGCTCGTAACAAATTGCGCAAGCAAACAACTCAACATCCGAAGTACTTTGTGCTTCACGGCTTGATTCCTAATCATCATGACATACATATATTTATATATAGATACAAAAAGGGGGAAAAAAAGTAGAAATACGGGCATAAAAAGAGTAAGAAATGAGAATTACGGTGTCAAGTGCAACAGCAGAGCTCGCTCGAATGCTGGCAGTAGCAAAACTAGGGTTGGGGCGGATTTGCGAATTGCGGGAAAGATGAGGGCTTTTTGGAAAAAATGGAGAATTGTGATGGAACCGAAGTGAGGGCTGGAGAGCAACGGCCATATTCTACGGCTGATGATGGTGGCCGGGCGGTGGGTTGACGCCGGGGTTCCTTTCTCTTTCCGTTTGATGATTCTTTTTGTATGATGTGTAGAGATACATACACAAGCCTATATATATTGGCGATTTCACCGCAGAGAGAAGAAGTGGAGGAAATTTCTGATATTTTTGCTTCATTTTGTTTGTGAATTAATGGTGAATTGTGTGGCCAGAGGAGAGGGTTCTCCACCAAGTCTAATTTTCCCCCAATTTTTGAGTTAATTCAATTTTAGGGTTTTATTAATTTCCCCCTTTCCCTTCTAGCTGTTTTTTAATATTTATTTATTTATTTATTAATTTTTGTATTAACACTTTTATTTCTTGCTTCTAATTGCTAGTTAATGTTATAAAATAATTATATATTAATGTTATAAAAACCATATAATATATATGGGAAATTTGTAATTTTGGTCCTATATTTTGGTATCTTTGGGGATTTAGTCCTATAAGTTGTCATATTTCAATTTTACATGCAATAATTATGCAAAGTTAGAATTATAAGTCCAATTTCACTCGAACTTTGAATTTTAGTAATGATGTACATAACAAACTCGTAGAAATTTATTTATATGGACAGTTAAAAATTATAAATACTCCTCTAATTTGATTTATAGATGATTCGTCTCACATAATTAAAGTTCTACAAATGGTAAGTTGAAAATCGAATTTATAAATTTCCAAGCGTTAAGTAAAATGCGTCAAGTTTATTTGTGTCTTTATAAAATTGAAAATCATGCAAAATATAACTAAAAATACTATATTTGCAAAGCTATTGCATGTAAAACTAAAACATGACAAGTTAGAGGACTAAATTCTTAAATAGGCCAATCGTAGAGGACCAAAACTACAATTTTCCCGATATATATCAATAATAAAAATAAAAAAAGGTGGAGAACTTGCCACAGTTATAACTGTCACCATTGCTTTTAGTTGGTTCAATTTATTAAAAACACACCCCAAAAATGCAAGTAATTACCATAACAAAAGCCTTATTCCATAATCATGGCCATAATCATGGCCATAATCAGGTGCTAATCATGATTTCAAATCACCATAATCATGGCCATAATCAAGTGCTAATCCTTCATAATCAGACCTGACCAGGTGCTAATCCTACATAATCAGCCGGTCCATAAGGCTGAAACAACTCGGCGAAACATCCCTTCTTTCGTCTCGGATTACATCCGATATCCCTGCACAACTGATCGTTGTAGTAAATGTGGACCCCACCTATACAAGCTCGTCTGAACTTACCGTTGCCCGAGTATTTCTTCATGTACTTGTCCCATTCTTGAATATCCTTTTCCATTTCTTTAATACTCGGCAAATTAAAAGCCCCGTCTAGGAAAAACGATAGCCATTTGCACCTCATTTCGAATGTGTACAGATTCGCAAGCGACTCCGAGTAACCGATTATTGCTAGCTGCGGAATCCTCGGATGTACAATTTGTCTGAAATGAAAAAATAAATAAAAAATAATTAATCTCCATATTGAAATATAAATAAGAAAAAATAAATTATGTTACCTATAGAGAGGAATTGTGGAGGAGGGAGATCCTTCAATGTAGGTTTGAAAAGTCGGAGAAGAAAATAAATTCTTGAGCTTTTCTTCGCCTTTATATCCGGTGGCGAATATGACAATATCTACTTTTACGGGATTATTTTCGTCTCCGTCGATAATTAAACCTTCTTTGCAGAAGCTAATAAACTTATTTGATTTCTTCAAAATAATACTTTTATCTTCAACTTTATCGTAGAATTTCTCCGGAAGGAATAGTATCTGACACGAAGATGCTTCTTGGAAAAAGCTCTGTTTCGGAATCATATCGTATTTCTTCAAGGGAAGTTTATATTTGAGATAGCTTTCGATCATCTTAGAGACGGCCCACCGCTAAAAAAAATCACGCGACGACGAATATAAGTACTTCATAAATACTTATATCATTTTTTTAATTGGAAAAGTCGAAAAAAGTTTTACGTACCAAAGGTGAAAGTGAGGTGGCCAACATACTAGAAAAGAGACCTTCGCCGGGTTTATGAACCATAAGCTCGGAAAATCGATTGAAGCCCAAATAAGCAATCGAAGGTGTATACATCCAATGGGTGGTTCTTTGGATCACTGTGCAAGGGTTTTTATTCTCTGAATAAACATTTCAAGAATATTATATATACCTTTTTTTAACATTGCCCGATTTTTTTTAATTATTTTCGACGCAATATAGGATTATGAAAAAAAAAAAAAGAAAAATCTCACCGTTTGCATTTGCGCATTCGAATGCAATGTCGATAGCTGATTTGCCTGAGCCTATAATAGCAACTTTTTTACCTTTAATAAGCTCTGCAGCACTAGCATTGTCCATGGCGGAGTATTCCATCGAATGCAACACTTTGCCGGAAAATATTTCCGGGCCCGATTCCGGTGGGAACTCCGGGATGTTGGCCAGGCCACTGAATCTTCCGATGCAGACAACAACAAACTCTGCTTCATACTCCTGCCACATAAAAAATTATTAGGAACCGCGTTATCGATCTTTTTTTGATATTTTTTCGTTTATTAGGATTTTGTAAATTGAACCCTTAGTCGACTAATTTGTATTAGTTACGCATCAATCAACGAAATACTCGACTACTTTTTTTTTAGTTAGTCGACGACTAAGTTCTTTTCAGTTAGTTAATTAAGCTATACAAAGTAGTGGACCAAGTATATTTTAGTTAGACATCAATTTTGACGAAGAATTAATCGATCGTTTTTCATTTAGTAACCGACTAAGGACACGTTTGGCAAAGCTTATTTAAAATATCTTATAAATCCTTACATCAAGGTTAATTTTAGTTATTAACTAAGCTTTATAAAGTAGTAGGCTAAATTAGTAAGCTGAAATTCAAGTCAACTAATCCTAGTCAACTACAATAGTCAACTAATTTTTGTAGTTAGTCGAATATAATTTTTCTTTGTTTTTCCCCAAATTAATGTTATACCTAATTCCATAACTTCCCCAAATTAATGATATACCTAATTATTTATCACGCAAATGCAACTAGTGATATTACTCATTTACCCCTCAAATCAGAGAATATTTTGAATATATATTAATATTATATAATATTTTATTTTAACAATTATAAATCCTAAGCATAAAACAATTCCACGTCAGAGAATATTTACAGACAGGATCATGAATATAATAAAAATATACATACAATCATACAAAAACTCTTACCTTGATAGTCTGATTTTGAGTGTCGAAAACTTTAAGGATCCACCTGCCGCCGCCATTGGAGGCGGCGGAGGAGCCAAAAGCACCTCCACCACCGCCCCACAAATCCCACGTCAGCATCTCGTCATCGGAAACTCCGACATAATCTATGCTCACAACTTCGGAGTTGAATCTGATGTACCGCAACAGCTCGAATTTGTCGGCGTACGATTGCAGATACTCCAAAAGCTGTTTGTTATGAGGGAAAACATCTTCAACAGAAGTCGGCCACGCGAAATCGGAGAACTGGAAAGTTTCCTTCACATTCTGGAGCCTCGTGGTTTCGTTCGTCTGGTTCCACAGACCACCGACCTTATCCTGCGCCTCGAACACGATCGGATCGTAGCCGTTGGATGCTGCGTGTTTACACGCCAGCAGGCCGCTGATTCCGGCTCCGATGATCGCCACCCTCTTCTCCATCATTTTTTATTTATTTAATTATTTAATTATTATTACGAATTGGAGGGTACATAAATGCATGCATGCCAATTGATAAAAGGGTGTAGAGAGCGTGAATTTACTTATCTCAATTAGTTAATAGCCAACCTGTCGGTTCAACTACCAATAAATGTCTAATTAATATAATTTAGGTGAGTAAATAAATGCAGTGTGTTTTTTCTTTAATTTTTTTTTTTTTTCTTTTTTGAGAGGTTCTTGAATATATTGCTGAATAATCCTTATAATTTGACCCAACAAACAATCAATTTGAACCCACATTATATAGTGTTTGGTACATGCAATAAATATCATCAAATTTTGTTACCTACGTACATTTCTGTGTGTGTATATGTTGGGTGCTAAATACATAACACGCAAATGCACGTATCGCAAACAAGTAATAAAAGTGGACTCGTGAGAGTCGGATGTCGATCCCACATGGAATACTCAAATTATTTAATCCTAAGTACCAAATTCTAACAATTATGAATTTTATCCAGCCTACGCAAAATTGTCAAATTTAATCAAGTAAATAATTAAACTAATTATGAAAGTAAATTAATACGAGAAAATATCAATAAAAACGGACCTAGGATTTTATCTTCCCCCTATGCATGAATTGCTCACCCAAAACCCCTCAATTATAAAATATATGATTCATGATTATTAACCCGAGACACTAATTTACTCATAACCCGCTGTCGCGTGTATTATGAGTCTATTATTCATAAACGGTTCACTATATGTCTATGCAAATAAATTATGAATAAAGCATTAACTAACAAGTCTCGTAAATGGCTACCTAAGGTGATATATGTATGTCTACGACACCACATGCAATTGACACAGTGAAAACTACTCGAAGGTTCTTATACTTACCGTCTAATTATCAAAATAGCTATGTCGAGTCAATCCCAATAATCACAGATAAAGCACATAAATTGATCAAGTTCATGCACTAACAATCATAACAAGTAGAAGAAATAATCATAAAATCATAATTGCATAATCTCAAGAAAACGGGTTCACCATCCCCACATAGGCTTCAAATAAAATCCTAGATTAAAAACTTAGCTACTCGTAATTCTTATGATAAACAAAATAGAATAAATAAAATAAATAAGAAAAACTATGCTTGAGTATTCGTCGATAATCGTTCTTCGCGCTCCTCTTCCTCCAAGATTGTGTTCAAAAGTATTTTGATTCGTGCTTGGTTTGCTCTTAAATAGATGCCCGAACTTGGTAGATGATTTTAGGTTTCCTTGTATGATTAAAAGTCCAAAATTGTCTCCAGCGTGTGTTGGCGCGGCCGCGCGAAAATCAGTCAAAATCTCACACGGCCGCACAAAATCGCCGAAACCTTCTGCCCAACTTCTGCAGTTGGCACGGCCGTGCCAAAAATAGGCTAATTTTGGCACGGCCACGCGGGCCAGCCAATTTTCAGCATATTTTTGATTATTTTACTTTTGGCCCATAGTTTCTCCAAAATTACAGTTTTGACCCCATACTTTTTTAATTCTTCAATTTGTACCTAAAATACAATAAACCACTCATTAAGCATCATTAAATCAATAAAAGTATACAAAAATCCTCGTAAGAAAGTATACATTGAGTGTAAAATATACACTTAACAATATATATATATTATTAAGGGTAAATTACAGTCACCCCTGATGTAAGGTCGAATTATGAAAAAACTCCTTACGTTTGGATAATTATAATCACTCCCACAATTATAAATCTTCTTACATGTCCACCCTCGTGGCATCCAATTTAGTGGATTTTTTTAAATTATGAGGAATATTCTTCAATTTGTAGTCGTTTTACCTCATTCAAGCTCCACATTTTGAAATAAGGTGATCATAAGATGTGTCTCTTGGTTTGTAAATATCAGATTGTGGTGTATTAAAAACGGCATTATTAGCACAAAACGAGTACAAACTATAGAACATTCCACAAAATGTAGAAGATTCTGTTGAATTTGACGTCATACCAAACATGAGGGATATTTTCGTAGTTTAACTTTACCTCGCGGGTTGGGGTAATTCACCCTATATTTAATTTATGTTTTCTACCTTATCATATTTAATTAAACATGTACAAATAGTGCATACATTTTGCCTTTGTTGCAAGAACCTAATTATGAGCTTTCAACTATGGGGTTAATGTTCAAACGGTTGAGGAAGATTGTGGTTGGGTGGTTGGTGGTTGACATTTTAACAAAAAAATTTAAGGGTGCATTTGGATGGAGGGATTTGGGGGAGGGATTTGAAATCCATAATAACAAATCCCTCGGACTTGTTTGGATTGAGAGATTTGGAGATGGATTTCAAATCCCCACCCCTCCTTTTTAGTTGATTTTGGAGCAATAGTGATGGATTTCAAATGACTCCTAAATTGGAGTCATTTCAAATCCATTCCCCAAATCAAATCCCTCCCCAAATCCCTCCATCCAAATGGACCCTAAAAGAATTTGAAGGAATTAAAAATTAAATAACCCACTTATAATTGTGAGATAAATTATTGGACTAACCAAACATCGAATACAATCCGAACAAAAGATTCTTGCAATAAAAACGACAATCAAAACAAGCTAGACACGTAATTACGACATCAAATTATTCATTACAACAATCATAACTGAGGCGCTAATCCTGCATAATCAGCCGATCCGTAAGGCTGAAACAAATCTTCGAAAACCCCCTTCTTCCGTCTCGGATTACATCCGATATCTCTGCACAACTGATCGTTGTACCAAATGTGGACCCCACCGATACAAGCTCGTCTGAATTTACCGTTGCCCGAGTATTTCTTCATGTACTTGTCCCATTCTTGAATGTCCTTTTCCATTAATTTAATTCTCGGCAAATTAAAAGCCCCGTCTAGAAAAAACGATAGCCATTTGCACCTCATTTCGAATGTGTACAGATTCGCAAGCGACTCCGAGTAACCGATTATTGCTAGCTGTGGAATCCTCGGATGTATCATTTGTCTGAAACAAAATAAAAATACAATTTTAACTCAATATCGAAAAATATATAAAAAATAAATAAATAAATATACATAATTGTTACCTATAGAGAGGAATTGTGGAGGTGGGAGATCCTTCAATGTAGGTTTGAAAAGTTGGAGAAGAAAATATATTTTTCAGCTTTTCGTCGCCTTTATATCCGGTGGCGAATATGACTATATCTACTTTTACGGGATTATTTTCTTCTCCATTTAAGATTAAACCTTCTTTGCAGAAGGTAAATTGATTTGATTTCTTGAAAATAATGCTTTTATCTTCGACTTTGTCGTAGAATTTCTCCGGTAGAAAGAATATCTGACAAGAGGAAGCTTCTTGAACGAAGCTCTCTTTCGGAATCATATCATATTTTTTCAAAGGAAGTTTTCTTCTGATATGGCTTTCGACGAACTTAGTGACCACCCAACGCTAAAAAAATGTCGAAAAAATACGAGATTTATAAAAAAAACTCAATCTTGAAATTTAAAAGACAAAAAAAAAAAAATCACTTACCAAAGGTGAAAGCAATGTGGCGAAAATACTAGAAAATAGCCCTTCACCCGGTTTATGAACCATAAGCTCGGAAAATCGATTGAAGCACAAATAACCGAAATTGACTCCCCATGGTTGTGCATCCGGAAGCATCCAATGAATGGTTCTTTGGATTACGGTACACGGGTTTTTATTCCCTGGAGTACACGAAATTCTAATTACAATACCCTTTTTTTTTCGGGTGACAATTAAGTTAGTACTATGGTTAATTAATTGCGAGAAGCTCGAAGAAATGTCTCACCGTTGGCATTTGCGCATTCGAACGCAATATCGACGGCTGATTTGCCTGAACCTATAACAGCAATTCTTTTTCCTTTAATAAGCTCTGCAGCACTAGCTAGCATTGTCCATGGCGGAGTAATCCATTGAATGCATCACTTTGCCGGAAAATATTTCCGGGCCGGATTCCGGTGGGAACTCCGGGATGTTGGGTAGCCCACTGAATCTTCCGATGCAGACAATAACAAACTCTGCTTCATACTCCTGCATGCCACATCAAATATAACTATCAACTTCATAAAATCGTTTATTTTTTTCGATAATTTTTTCGTGCCTGTTTAACCGTTTTAAGTGATCTTAATTCTTTTGTTAAAAGATTGGAAAACAACTAACAATAAAAAAAATACTTCTTTACCCCTCAAATTAGACAAAAATAACTTATTAACTTGAGAAAATTTTGAATACATGCATAGAGGGTATATTAAATCCACCTCCCCGAGGTAAAACATAATTACAAAAAAACCTCTTATTTTTGAGAAATTACACCCGCCCCCTGCAGTTAGTAAATTTCTTACATCCACCCCCTATAAAAGAGTGTTAATGTAAGAAACCTATAAATTTCAGGGAGGTTGATTTAATTATGGAAAAAGGAGGGGGGTTTTCGCAAAAACAAAGTCTAGTATCTATTACAATTACATTATCAAGAATAGTATTGTGATCTTATCTTATGTAATAGATTTGATCAACATTTTCAAACGAAAACGACACCTCAGAAAGATCGGACCGCACAATTTCATCTAATTAAAAACCAAACGAGACCTTATTATAGAAAAAAATTAAATGATACACCTAATTATTTATACTTAATGAACTTGAATCGTAGATCTACACATAATTACACACACATCCATGCGTATGTGTGCTTAGTGAATAGTATTTTAATCAAATCTACAATATAAATACATCCAATGTAAATAACCAGTTGTAACATCTGTACCGTAATAATACCATATATAAACTACTTCAATCTTGTGATAAATCTATTAAGAACTTAAAATGCCACGTGTCCACTAAAAATCAGGAGAAAATAAAATAAATAAATAATTAATTATAAATTCTGACCTTTAAGGATTCATCTGTAGTGTCGAAAACTTTGAGGATCCACTTGCCGCCGCCATTGGAGGCGGAGGAGCCAAAAGCATCTCCACCACCGCCCCACAAATCCCACGTCAGCATCTCGTCATCGGAAACTCCGACATAGTCTATGCTCACAACTTTGGAGTTGAACTTAATGTACGGCAAAAGCTCGAAGTTGTCGGCGTAGGATTGCAGGTAACCGACGAGCTGGCTGCTCCGGGGGAACATGTCTCCGACGGACGGCG